GTAAACTATGTGTATTTTTGTTTGTAAATTGCATCTTCATTTTCCGGATAGCAAACACCTTCGTGGCTTCGTATGCCATGAAATATTCGGAAATATTTTTTGTCATTCGGAAATTTTTGGCCTACACCCCTTAACTATACATGCTAGCTACGGCCCTGGCTGTTATTCTCCACATCCAAGGCTGCAGCACATTCAGCACACTACAGGCAATTGGTTATCATCTTGACAATACATTCACATGTATGGCAAACTCAACATGAAAAAAATAATTTAAAAAATGAACGCACAGTACGCAAGAAATTTCAGTATTAATATAGAATATCAATGCTTTATTTTCTAACAGGCCGCTCAGAGGGAGGCAGAGAGCAGTTATGGCAATTTGCAACTGCCCCCCCCTAAAAAGCTCTGGGCAGATATATATATATATATATATATATATATATATATATATATATATATTACAATCTGCAGACATGCATGTTTCCGCGTTCAACACCGACTGATAGATAGATATTTATTCGCCCACAAAACTATACATATATATATATATATATATATATATATATATATATATATATATATATATATATATATATATATATATATATATATATATATATACAAAGCATATGAGAATATAATAATATAAAGGGCTAGGGATCTTTGGAAATCCAGTTGGACTTTTATACATAAGGCCCTTATTTTTCAATAACCATGAATAAAGATCGAGCAATATACTATTAATTTATAATACTGATAATACTGAAAAGTGAAAAGAAAGTTCAGAGTAATTTACAATATTTACATCAATCAGAATCTAAATAATATAATTTTGCTTTTTTCTTAAAAGAGAGATATGGATTAGTATTTTTGATATCTTCATTAATACTATTCCATAGAGAGACGCCTTTGTTGTGGGTCATCAAAACCATGCCAGAGCGCTCAAACTGCAAGCAGTGCGTAAGCGGCATGGCTCATCCTGTAGAGCGCTCAATATGACCGAAAGGCCATAGTGCGATATCTAACTACAGACGGTACCGTTTCGGCCTAATGGGCCTCATCAGTGTAGTGCTGATGAGCAGGATGAAAGTAACTCTTATTTATAGTTACCTTTGATGCCTCACGATTGTGGGACATCAAAACCATGCCAGAGCGCTCAAACTGCAAGCAGTGAGCGTGCCCAATGCGTAAGCGGCATGGCTCATCCTGTAGAGCGCTCAATATGACCTAAAGGCCATAGTGATGGGCGATACTATCGAAAAAGTATCGAAATCATCGCAAAAGTATCGATACTTTCGATACTCGCAAAAAGTATCGGTAATTCGATACCATTTGAGCCTGCGATGTTTTTGGTCAGAATTTCTGACCAATCACTTAATGCTTCATGAAGGCAACAGACTGAAGGCCCCTGAAGGCAACAAATGTTGACATTATGCTGTTCTTAAACAAAGACATGTAGCTAATTAGAAATATATTTGAGGAAAACATTGGTGTTTTGATTTAAAATCATAATTGCACATGTTATGTTCGATTATTTGGCAAGTACTCCAGTTAGAGTATTCTTTGACTTGTGTTAAACATTAAGGCCACTACAAGTTAATCTTTAGTTTCTGGTCCGGCCTTAACTTCGTTTACGACGCGGGCGGGCGGGTGGTTAGGACTATAGGACATAATTACAATTGTGGCTTTGCCCACATTTTTGTGGTCTTTCTTGTCCCTTTTCATGCTAATTGTATCAAAATGTTATGAAATTTTACATAAATTGCATTTATATTATATATAAATCGACATGTATGACAGATTACAAAGGATTTTACATATCAAAATGATCTATTAATATTTCTAGTTTTTTTTACCTCGTAATCTCGATAAAACAGCAGTTTTAGTACATTTTGCTAGGTGTATAAATAGTGTAAATTGAATATTTATCGTTCTATAAGTTAAATCCTTCGCGAAAATTTTCAAGAACTAGAAATTAATTGTAAACAACAAAATAGTCCTGAAATAATACTTTGCGAAGAAAGGACGCGGGCGGCCGACCAGAAACTAAAGATTAACTTGTAGTGGCCTAATGTTCGTGTTTTAAAAGTTACTTTAATAAATGGAAAAAATTGAGTATCGGTATCGATTTTGGTATCGGTATCTACCAAAATTCATGGTATCGGACTGGTATCGTATCGAAACCAAAAAAGCTGGTATCGCCCATCACTAAAAGGCCATAGAGCGAGATCTAACTACAGACGGTACCGTTTCGGCCTAATGGGCCTCATCAGTGTAGTGCTGATGAGCAGGATGAAAGTAACTCTTATTTATAGTTACCTTTGATGCCTCACGATTGTGGGACATCAAAACCATGCCAGAGCGCTCAAACTGCAAGCAGTGAGCGTGAGCAATACGTAAGCGGCATGGCTCATCCTGTAGAGCGCTCAATATTACCTAAAGGCCATAGAGCGATATCTAACTACAGACGGTACCGTTTCGGCCTAATGGGCCTCATCAGTGTAGTGCTGATGAGCAGGATGAAAGTAACTCTTATTTATAGTTACCTTTGATGTCTCACGATTGCGGGACATCAAAACCATGCCAGAGCGCTCAAACTAGAAGTTGATATATTAATTATTATTTTACAAACGGTTTTAAGTAAATATAAATTTTGCGATGTGGTAGATTCTTGAAGCTCAATCAATAACAATGTCTTGCATAAGAGAAAAAAGATAATTAACAACCATTTGAAGCTTATCCATATTGTCGTATAGGTACTAAGCAGCTATTATAGGTTTACTTTTGGAATCTTTAAAACCATTACGAATAACGCCTCGATTCTTCTGCATAGAAGTGTTTTATTATTTTTTTTTAATAAGGATTATTATACTTGATTGTAAGAAAGTGTTAGAAATTATAATAATTTCAGGGAAATTGCAGGACTTATTTCTAACAATAATCATTGCTTCAGCGAGCAAGGCCGGTGTTTATGGCTGTGACAAACTAGTGCTGGTAGTAATAAAGGCCAACCTGCCTTAACCAGCAAAATATCAAACAATCCCATATTTCCAATTCCGAAAAGAGAACAAAAGGTAATTTCCAATTTCGAAAAGAGAACAAAAGGTATGGACTACAACAAGACGTACTAAATTTAAATTGTTAAAGGACTGGTAATTTTGATCTGCTACAGAATCATCATCAGATCAACTGATTTTCAAATAAAAATAAACTCTCTTGTTATAGATAATTATATAGACAGACAGATTTTATGAAGTACGAATGTTTACAGCCTCTTACAAATCGAATGAAGAATTATTATAATATTCGAACTACTTGACAATTAATCTTAGGAAATTAAAATTGTACTAGGCCTACTGTATATATAATAAAAGTTGTATTCGAAATTTAAAATTCGTAACCATTTAATTTTGCACTGTAAATAAGAAATTTACTATATAAAATTACTGTCATTTGTCGATGAAAAGCTCTTCCGAAGTCTGTCTGTTTTACACATGAGTCTTCAATTCAACACCCGTTTCTTCCTCAAGTTTAGCTGTTTACATTAATCTGATTGTTCTCCGGCACTAGTGCATGCATGTACAGTAGCTAGCTTATTCGATGGATCTTGTGTAATTTTATTGAAAAGGACTTTGGTGAGAATATCGCTTCAATTATATATGCACAAGAAAACTAGAAGTTGATATATGAATTATCATATTACAAACAGTCAAGTAAATATAAATTTTGCGATGTGATAGGTTCTCACTGTGATAGGTTCTCATTGAGAAGAATTAGACAAATTAATGACAACAATTCGAAGCTTATCAATATTACCATAGTATAGGTTTAATTTTTGAAGCTTGAAGACCATAATTATAAGCCGAGAATTATTGTACTTGATATATGATCACCCCTCTTTCATTATTTTTAGGCTATATATATGTGTTTTATTATTTTACTTGAATGAAACAATATATATTACTAGAAATTATACTACGATAATTTCTAGAAATTATTAGCTTTAATTCTAGAAATTATATTGCTTCAGCAAGCACGGTGTTTGTGGTTGTCACAAACTAGTGTTGGTAATAATAATGGCCAACCTGCCCGAACCGCAAAATATCAAACAATCTTATGATGCTTACAGATGTTAAATCATCAAAGAGAAATCTTCGTTGCCTTTTCTTCTTTGCAGAAGAAAAAATTTCAATTTTCTTCTTTTAAAACAATTTGAAAACATCAAAGCGAGAAAATGGTATTCAGAAAAGCACTATTTGTTGTGCTACTTCTATTCGCGACAATTTTGGGGGAAAATCGAACACTGGAAGAAGATTACAATTCGGAAAAGAGAACAAAAGGTATGGACTACAACAAGACCTAAATTTAAATCGTTATATTTCGATCTATTACAGGATCATCATCAGGCCAACTGATTTTTAAATATGTATTGTACAAGAGAACTAGAAGTTGATATATGAATTATTACTTCACAAACGGTGAAGTAAATATAAATTTTACCACCTAGTTGGTTCTAACTGTTATATACAGCATAGCTCCATCAATAACAATGTCTTGTGTAAGAGAAGAAAGACAAATGACAACAAACTAATCAATTCAAGGTGAAAATTATTATACAATGCCTCTTTCTCTATCTTTACATGTGTTTTAGGCTGTATTATTTTCTATTTGATTGTGATAAGAATTATTATACTTGATTTTAAGAAAATAATTATTAGAAATTATAGTAATTTCAAGAAATTGCAGGATTCATTTCCACCAACTATATAAGTAAACTTGCTCCAGTGAATATTGCATGGTGTCTATATATAGCTGTCACAAACTTACTGGTAATAATAATGGCTAACCTGCCTGAACCAGCAAAATATCAAACAATCTTATACACAGATATTTTAATTAAATCATCAAAGAGAAATCATTCGATGCGTTTTCTTCTTGGCAGCAGGACAACTTTCAATATTCGTCTTGTAAAATAGTTTGAAAACTTCAAAAGCGAGAAAATGGAATTCAGAAAAGCACTATTTGTTCTGCTACTACTATGCGCAACAATTCTTGGCGAAAATCGAACAATGGAAAATGATTCCAATTCGGAAAAGAGAACAAAAGGTATATGAACTACAAGACGTAAATTTAAATGGTTACATATATTAATAAATAGTTCTAGAATCATCATCGGACCAACAAGATAAGCTAGAAGTTGGTATGTAAATTAATTATTATTTTACAAACAGTTATAAGTAAATATAAATTTTGCGATGTTGTAGATTCTTGAAGCTCAATCAATAACAATGTCTTGCATAACAGAAAAAAGATAATTAACAACTATTTGAGCTTATCAATATTGTCGTATGGGTACTAAGCAGCTATTATAGGTTTAATTTTTGAAGCTTTCAAATCATTATGAATAATGTCTCGATTCTTCTGCATAAAAGTGTTTTATTATTTTCTATTTAAATTAATAAGGATTATTATACTTGATTGTAAGAAAGTGTTAGAAATTATAATAATTTCAGGGAAATTGCAGGACTTAATTCTAACAATAATTATTGCTTCAGCGAGCACGATGTTTATGGCTGTGACAAACTAGTGCTAGTAATAATAAAGGCCAACCTGCCTGAACCAGCAAAATATCAAACAAACTTATATACACAGAGATTTTAATTAAATCATCAAACAGAAATCATTCGATCCGTTTTCTTTTGATCATGACCTGGCCTAGACCCATGGCGGATCTAGAACTAGACCTAGTCAGACCGATTGCGCGAGTATATGATGTAAACATTGTGCGGATACTGTAATTAAATCAAATTCAAATTGTGGTTTAGTTAGCAAGTTTCATACAGCGGAAAGGCTTTAATAACGTCTCGGAATAGCGATCTTCCGCGTAAGTCGATCTGCAGTTAGATATCAGCCATGTGATTGACCTTTTTGATCGCTCTGCTGGATTTCTGATCGATTTGGCTCGTTTTCAAGTTTTTTTTTTTTCTAATTGGCAAAATATCTAAATTCGCTTTGGCAAATATCTAAATTCTCTTTTTTTGTCCACCTAGTATAATACTAGCTGTTTTAGGAATATTTCATTAAAGCATAAAACAACGGCAACATGTTTTATCGATCATGAACAATTCGCAGCTTGAGGAATGCATCCGCCCTTTCAGAGGCCGCGGAAGCACCTCAAAAGTGGGCTGGAGGGCACAGACAAGAAAGGGCGATTGAGCCAGCAAATATTGTAAATATGTTAGATGTGTCCTTAGAAGGTCCATGCAGAGATTTGGAGGCATCCAATATACAGCCTCGGATGTTGCATGTATTCTCTAATAGCTCTGCGTCCGAAACTGAACATGAACACATTAATCACAAATTTATTTAAATTTTTTTATTAATTAATGCAATTTCATTGAAAATTTCCAAAAACTAACTCTATGATGTTTTTGGTAACAAAGAAATTTTTATACCAAGATTTACTCTGCGAGATAAACATATTCTTACTATTAATTCTATTTTATTAGCATATTTTTGTGGTCGTTTAGATATACTGTAATTGGTTAATTATGTTTCCGTAATCCGCTTTATTATGTTTAGAGTTTTAAATCGATGTTGTATTCGTTCATATTATCATTATATATAAAGATTTTATTGATTTTATTAATAATGTTTTGATTCGACAGAACCGATAATATGAAGAAAATTTTATACTGCATGATCTGGTGTGAAGCTGTGTTTTTGTAACTTGGCAAAGTTCTTTGTCACTTATATTGGAATTTCCTCTCATGCACTCTATATAGACATAGCATTTTAAGCGATCATATCGCGATTTTCAAATGCCTTTTTAAATCTAAGAATGATGCTCCGTTAATTAGCCGGTCTATTCATTGTTGGCATCAATATTTTAATTAAAACCATTGATTTGTCATTTTCAACAATGCAGTAACAGTGCAGTAACAGTAAAGAGGTCTAAAAGGTTGTTATGAATTTGTTAGAACATTTCCTAAGAATATTATAAATTATACACATATTATATATTATAATTCTACTCTTTTCTTCCAGCGTCCGAAAACTGAATGCCTTAAAATATGTACAAAATCTCTGTAAATATTAAATATTAACATTTCTAATGTCAGCCAGATTAGCAATTAAAAATAATCCATAACCATAGGCCTACTTATGTAATACACTGGAAAATGCATAGATGTAGCAACCCTTGCCTTGCTGTCAAAACAATTATATTTTTCGAACTTGGAGTATTTAAAGTAGTTGTCATGGTTGCACGATAATTTTATTAAAATTAAGAACATTTTCACAATTGAAAATTCGCCTAAAAATATCACTTTTAATTACAAAATTGTCAATTTCCTAAACATATAAATGAAGATATGTTATTATACGTGATATAAGCTTCCCAAAACGTTTTAAAATGTTCTTGATAAAACTAAACTAAATTTAACCTTTATCGATAATCTTTGAGTTTGATATAAAATGATTTAAAACTCTCGCATGCGAATAGCTTTGCTTTCTTTTTTATTTGACAATTGTAATATAATAGAAAAGGGTAATTAATAAAGATACGTTGAAATTATATGCTGTCCTTTTCATTATATATGCAACGATCAGCTTTTGAAGCAATTATAAAGTAAACATTTTACAATGCATCAATATTTAAAACAAACTTACCTTCATTGACGTGCGCGCCTTCGCTGAGTTTATTGCCCTCTTTTAACAATTCTTTCGCCTTTTTTTTCAAAAAGCTTTTGTCATTTACAAAATCTTGCAAAAATGAACTTTATTTGCAAGAAATCAAGAAATTCTCGCTATTTCGCTGTCGTCGTGCAGTTCTTAAAATGCAAATTTTAAATTGGGCCAATCAGTGTTCGCTATTCATCATGACAGTCCGCTAAATTTTGGGATCAGTGAGGATAAGTACCCACGCACAGTAACCCCCGCCCGTGATCAATGATGAACTTTATACTTCGCTAATGCTTTCCTTTCGCTGCATGTAAATAGATGGGCGGAATTAGCACCCTCGCCCCAGGCTTATGCGCTGAACGGCCCTCCGCGCCATTTGGTCGGGAAATAGAGTTTTGTATATATATCCATGTGTTCATGTAAAGAACGACGGCCGATCGACGCGGCGTCCCTACATAGTGTTATACTTTCGCCCTGTGTATTTCGCACTTTAACTATACGTTAAAGTCGGTCAATAGCGGACGGCGGCATCTCCTTTGATAAAACGGTGCGTGGGTAACACCGCGAGTCACGCCTGAGTTACACTCGGTGCGGCATCCTTGTATGGTGGGTTATCTCCATCTATACGAGGTTGAGAGGGGGAATTATCTACCAATATTTCGGAGGCAACGAACGTGTCCTATAAAAAATAGTATAAAACAGTAACTATAACTAGCTGCATTGCCTTGCTAATCATGATATTTTTTATTTTCAGGTTCAGCCTCTTGTCAAGCCACAGGTGACCCCCATTACCGTACTTTTGACGAAAAAAGATACAACTTTATGGGAATGTGTGAATATGTGCTGTCGAAAGACTTGGAGAACAGTTTCCAGGTGCTCGCAAAGAACGAACGCTGCAACCGACGTTATAACTGTGTTGCCTCTGTGACTGTGTTAGTAAAGGGGCTGAAGCTGAAAATATCCAGAGGTGGTCGTTTTACAGTTTTTGGATTTCCAAAGAAGCTACCCTACATCAAACAAGGTAAGAATGATCCACATAGTGATACTATAACGACAAGTGTTGCTATTGCGCAGTGTAATGAACTGGTGTAGCGTGTCTATCTGAACTATTTGGACATTGAGAGAGAAAATATCCGAACGGAAATATCCGAACGAAAATAATTGAACGAAATAATGAAGGACGTTTTCAATTCCAGGAATTTAGTCAGCAACCGTCAAACACGTATCACTGAAGTGTTTACGATCTTCTCCAGATACTTCTCCAGGTATTTCGTAGCACTCCAAAGGGTCTCTTTTTGGTACCTAAATAAAACATAAACAAACAAATAATTATAAGGAAAACCAGTATCAAGGATTTTCTTCTACTTTCTTCAATTTTCGAAAGTTCTAATCGTTTTAACGAGTTTTGGAATCTCATGTTGAGAAGCAAATTCGAGTTCTTTCATTCCTACTCAAATTAGTTACCAGGTCTCAGTCAACATTGATTCATCATTGTGCTTCTCCCCCCATGATTACACTGACCCATTTGTGTTGCGGTATTTTGCCAATATGTAAGGCTTCAACTGACCAATGTCCCTCACGAGAAGAAACTATTTTTGGCATGGTTTACTTGTTTCACTCCATTCACCCATAACCCATTCAACCTTTAGTATATTTTCATACCGAATTTAGTGATATTTAAAGAATTAAAGGTTTAGATAATGGGCTATTATATAGGTGTAAGAGCTTCAAAGGATGGTGGAAAAGCAGTCCGAATTAATACAGATATCGGCTTAACAGTGCGATTTGACGGGGTTTATAATGTGTTTGTCACTTTAACTTCGCAATACCGAGGAAAGACAGCGGGACTTTGTGGAAACTACAATGGTAATATCAATGATGAATATTTGGATGCGAACTCCCATCTCAGCAATTCCATCGTTGAATTTGCGGATTCCTGGAATGCTGATCGAAGCTGTAAAAATTCACACCAAAATCCTGGTAACCCATGTAACACTGCAAGTCCCATTGCCCAAGAGGCGAAGAAGAAGTGTCAGTTGCTCAAACAACGACCGTTTAAAAAATGTCATAATTCAGTGAATCAAGATTCTGGCTTTATTCAAGATTGTGAATATGATGTCTGTGCGTGCAATAATCATCCTTCGTCCTGTCTGTGCGAAGAATTTGCTGCTTACGTCACCTCGTGCTCACTAGCTGGAGTTTCTATTACCTGGAAAAATCTTCCTCGGTTTGCTGAGTGCAGTAAGTATTTTCTTCATTCAATAATACCATATCCTAAACGACAGGGAGGTAGCTTTTCCTTCAGCTGGCCAGATTATTACAACGTACTTTTAAGTGTTTTAAATTCATTTTATCAATGACCATCAGACCATTCAGTTCTCAAAAAACCAGTATTCTTTGTGTGCAATCACGTAGCCATGTGATATCTGAACAAACTTGCGCCAAGGTACTTGCAGATAATTTTGAAAAACGCTCCGATATTCATAATTGCCAGATCAGAAATAACCACTGTTTAAAATATCCCAAGTTACAGAATTGCACCGGGAAAAGAACATTTCACGCATAATTTAACAAATAAGTTAAACTCTTATGGCAAATAAGTATAGCGAATAAATTGGTCTCGTTTAGAAAACTACTAGACCTAAGTACTTTAAAACAACCATTTTCTGGAAAATAGAATTTTAGTTGGAAAATAGAAAACGCGGTGTATACGTAGTAGGATTTTTATATTTCAAATAATTCAGTTAAACTACAACCCACCGGGCACACGACGTTGTTTCAACGTTGAAATTTGGTAGAAAAAAGGTTGCGACGTCGACAACCTAATATCTAAGTTGCTCTGGCGTTGTTTTAAAAACATTGGTTCAACAGCAGCCAACAGACGTTCAATCAACGTTCATTCATGGTTAAATGTACGACGTCGATTTGTGAAGTAATCTCAACGTCGTTTCAACGTTGATTCAACGTTGAATTATGGTTGACGAGATTGGCAACCTAATTTCAACGTTGTTTCAACGTCGAAACAGTAACGTCGATCCATTTTGCATAGTCAACCCTTTTTTAACGTCTATCCAACGTCTGGAAGGTCATTTCCAACGTTGATTCAACGTTGAATAAACGTCATTTTGCCCGCTGGGAAACTACGAATTGACCTAAACATGAACGAGGATGGAATAGCTGAAACGATTTTCATTGAAATGATTTCAACATCATGTAAAAATATTAGGTGGCAATTACTTAATGGTAATTACGTTGGAAGTATGTTTATTGAATTTGTGACAGAGTGCTGAATGCAAAACCAGAGCATATTTAATTTAAGGTGGCTCCCTAGGGTTTTTTTAATTTACTACAGTATATAGTATTCAGGTGACTCCTGCTTCTTCACTTTACATGACATGAAGATGAAATTTAGTGGACGAATTGACAATGTTCTCCTGAACATTGCAAGTTGTTACCAGGGGCGGAGCGAAGACTATCCTTTTCGGGGGGTGCAAGACAACTTTTTGCCGACAAAAGGGCGTGGCTAGCGCGCGGTTAGGGCGTGGTCAAAGCAAACCGTATTCATTTTTAAGTGATATACAATGATTAACGCTTTGTAGTAAGATAATTTATTTTAATTTACTTTTAAAATAGGCGAAATAGTTCCGAAAAAAAATCGAAAAAGCACATCAATGCATTCGTCATCAAACGACCGATTGCAAACTAAACACCTCAGTTTCTCTCTCTTCCGTTTGCGTTTTTGCTTGCCTGTCCATACTTTTAAATCATCTCCGTTTTTCTCATTGTATAAAAGACCTTTAGGTGTAATTTCTAAGACTTTTACTGGCTTTACAAGATTATGAAATGAAGCGCAGACGCATCAACAGTCAACACGTACATGTGCTTCGAATTTCCTAGCTATGGTATACTTCACAAAATTGCAAGAAAATATAATACTATTAAATAGCGAATTAGCGTAATACGTTCTTGGCCAATTTAGCTGAATGTTCGGAAAAGGGCCAAGCTTTCAGTCGACATATCCATCTTTTCGATCTCGCATTTTCTACAAATTTTCTCCAATCTCTCTCCAATCAGGTATTGCCTATTGGCTTGATCCAATTTATTTTGCCGACAACTGATTTATGGTGCGCCCCCCCCCCCTTAGCTACGCCCCTGGTTGTTACTTTTGTGTTAAAAATCTGTTGTCATGGCAACAGCATGCTTAGAATAAAGCTCAAAATTTGTCTTTTTCGGTGAAATTTTTTAAAACTGTGCATAAAAGATAATACTTGTATAATGATATTTTTTCCTCAATTTAAAAAAAATTAAATCGATCGTTTCCTGAAAATTTAAAATCGTCAAAAATCAATATTAAAATTTTCCCTTCGATTTAATTTTAAGAAAAATGGATATTGCACTTGTTGTGCCAATATTAAAAAATGTGCAAAATTTTAAAAATTTCACCGAAGGAAAAGGGAGAAATTTGGGGTTAATTTTGGCAATTTTTACTAAATTTTGACGCGAACAATTTAATAACACAACTGACGTAATAAAAATAAAAAAGAATTATAAAATAGAAAAAATGTCATTAATATCGTGATAGAAAAAAATATCATTTTTATTTATCTACGTTATTTAAAAATGTTATCGATCTTTGGAGTTTCACTTGTTTTGTATATTGTTAAAATACTCAGTGGTTCTAAAAATATTAATAACTTATACTGACCGAGAGTGAGGACAGTACGGGAGAGTGAGGACAGTACGGGCCGAGGTCTTGCTGCCGGTATTGACCGAGCGATAGCGGGGTTAATAGAACAAGGCCGAGGTTGGATATTTTCCCGTACTGCCCGAACGGTTGAGGTGAGTAGGTCTTTTATTATATGGCATAATAATATACGTTTGTAAAAAACAGGAAAAAATGTCACGCGAGGGCAAAGTACAAAGTCCGAATTATTTGCAAAACTAGAAAATACATTCATGCAGAAACCCTCGCCTTGCTGACAAAACCATTGTATTTTCCGAACATAAAGTATCTAAAGTAGTTGCCATGGTAACACGATAAGTTTTTAAAGAATATTCTTACAAATGAAAAATCGCTTAAAAATATCACTTTTAATTACAAAATTATCAATTTCCCAATATATATATATATATGTTAGGTATGATATTATACGTAATATAAGCTTCAATTTAAGGTAAGATTCAACCACAAACGCTTCCCAAAACGTTTTAAAGTGTTCTTTATAAAACTAAACTGCCTTTATTCTTTAATTAAATGGCTTTATCGATAAACTTTGAGTTTGCAATAAAATGATTTCAAATTCTATAGCATGCAAATAACTTTGCTTTCTTTTTTATTTAAAAAAATTTCAATATAATAAAAAAGAGAATCAATATTAAAGATACACTGAAACGGGGCCCGACATGCTGTCTTGTTTAGTTGTTTCATATACGCAAAGGCCGTCGGGTTTTAAAGCAATTATAAAATCAATATTTAAAACAAACTTACCTTCGTTAACGTCGGCTCTCTTCTTTTAGCCGATTCTTTCGCCATTTCCTTCTTGAAATTTACAAATGATGTTGCAAAAATGCGAGCAACAATGAAATATATTTGCAACAGATTTATCAATCATCAAATAAAGAAATGTTTGCTATTTCGCTGTCGTCATGCATATTTCGCTGTCATCATAATGCAAACTTTAAATTGGACCAATCATAGTGTTTGCTATTCATGACAGTCCGCCATATTTTTGAGATCAGTGAGGATGACCAGCCACGGTTGGTGACCCACGCCCGCGATATTTGATGAACTTTAGACTTCGCTAATGCTTTCGTTTCCCTGGGTGTAAATAGCCGGGGGGGGGGGGATTAGTACCCTCGCACGGTGTTGCGCGCCGTCGGCTCGGGGATTACAATTGTATAGCAACGTTCTATTGTTTAGCAAAACTACTCTACAGCACTTTTTTATAGAATACTAAACACAGTTTGGATAGTATTGCAAGCAAAATACGAGGTATTTGGTCATTTAATCAAGACAACAAATATGAAAACAATAAAATCAATAAACGGTATGGACGTCAAGTACGTTTTCAGTTCGCTACATCTCATATATCTGTCTCTTTATCTAACAAAAACACTGAAATTTTCAGGGGAAAATTATAAATCTGTAGCTGCTTTAGTCGTATTTTTTATTTAAGATGGTGTCAAATTCCTCCTGGCTATCTGCAAATAAAATTTGCAGCTCTTCACATAGGCAAAACACAACTCTCCTGACTGCTTTAATAGTTATAAACATTGTAAAATTTACGTTCTAATTTCGACTTTCGCTAACAAAAAGGAATTAAGAAAGTTCTTTAACTACAGAAAGTGCTCCTTTTCTTTGTTTTAGGTTTATTTTTCTTCGTTTAGAATAGTTTGAAAGACTTTTAGGCACTTCTTGCCGTTTGAAACTCGGCTCTCTTCGCAGGGCAATAAAAATTGCGTATTGCCGGTGGGCAATACGGGAATATCCTGCCTCGTCAGCAGCCAATCAAATTGCGCGATTCATCAAAACAAATGCTTGTCATATGATAATAAGTATTAGTATAATTTTCGCATATCAAATGAGCTTTCGCGCGTTCTGATTGGCTGGTTGACATTGTTTACCAGCCGACTAAAAAGAAAGATTCGACAAATTTGGTTTCAAAATGGAAAAAATATTGAAAAAATTGTCGCCAGAAAATGAAAGAAGCACAAAATGTTGTATTTAACTTGAAAGTTAAGGTTTCCTTTATTATTTTACTGTGTCAAACATATTCACAAACAATTTAAAACTTATCTAAGACTCCGAAACATTCAATTCAAACAAATATAGCAAAAACTATCCCGACTATTGGGAAAAACCTTGCCGTGAAATTCTTTTACTAAACATTTTGTTTTGTATCCAATAACTATCTCAAGTTGTACGATACTATTTGTTTTGATATGTCGTGTTTTCATTGTGCCGTATTGAATGTCTGGCGTTCTGAACTCTGTATTGCGTTTTCAAAACTTGTAAAGTGAAAAGTGTATTAATTAAAACTTTATTTCAAGGCATTCGGGCAATAGGTTTACATTCCACTTTACCAATTTTCTTAGCCATTTCCTGAACAAATTAATGCTAAACAGAAACTATTTTTTAATTCTAAGTCTGGTGAAAAAGTCATTCCATCATTTTGTTTATATTCTAAGTAGAAATTGAGAAAAACAACTTTGTAAAAAAGCAGAAAAGTCACAAAGGAAGCCATCTTGAAAGCGTGCGTGTACAAGAAACATTGCAACACTAAAACAGTAACGGTATAACCGGCCGAAAACAGTTTCATTTCTCAATTTTAAATAAACTGATATTTGGATATTTTGTTTTATTCATCAAAAATTTATACTAAAACAATTATTCGTTTCAGGCTCAGTGATTACGGAGAATATTCACCTCGACTTCGTTTCGGTGAATTTTCACCGGTAATCTCTTCGTCTTCGGCGAATAATTGTTAAATATTGCTTCGAGAAATTTATTTCTATGCCCGCATTTCGATAAAAGTTCACATCTTGAATTCAAAGAAAAAAGTTCAGTGCAACTTCGTTCCCAGGCTCTTTCCTCTTGTGGAGGAAAAACCCTCGTCGGAGCTGGTCACGTGAATCCCCAGATTTTGGGGATAAATTGAATTTGATCTCAGGGAGGGGTAGTAGAGGAGTCCGTTTGTTGCGTTTGGAAAATTGCAACTTTATGTGTTATAACTTCGGGTGATAAAAATGTAAATTGCAACAAGAGATTGTGAAAGGAACTGTTCTAAACTCGTACCGATCATGACACGACTTCCTGTTATACTGAATGTCGTCAATTATAAGTGTTGCGTGACATTTCAAGCGAGAAGCTGGATCATATTTCACTTGCAAGGAAAACACTCCACACGCGCTTGGCTTGCGAAGTTTAGCACGTATCGCCGTAGAAACACCAATATCTTCTACACCGACTGAAGAAAGATTATGTCGAAGTATAGCTATCTGTTATCATACGAACACCAAGACGCTTCCGTTCGTGCGGTACAACTTGAATATCTAGGACGATATATGCACCAGACACTAGTATTGTACTTTACTAGTAAATTATTTTATTTTTCGTTTATTACAGTAATTTACAGCAGGTACATTGTAAATCTTATAAAGACTTTTCATTGGCATTGCCATTGTCATTACCCATTGAGGGCTTTATTTGAAGAATAATCCAGCTTAAAAATCCATGCAGCTTCTTTAGACTTGAATAATGCCGCTGTAAGTTATCAATATTTAAATTAAATCAACTTTAATATTTATCGTATACTGTAATCGACATTTTAGAAGTTTCACCAAATGATACTGGAGGCAAACAACCTATCTGTCAATGGAAACTTTAAAAGGCTTATTACAGTAAAACTCATGTTAAATAATAATTTTATGAGCGAGACTTTGTGCGCATATACAGTTTATGAAATATATATATATATATATATATATATATATATATATATATATATATATATATATATATATATATATATATATATATATATATGTATATATCCCTAATAAAACGTAGGGACACTTTATTAATACCAGATTAATAAAATACTTTGCTAAACGGCCTTTTTGGCTATCATTCCTTTGCATTCAAGGGGCGAGGGCTAATGGCGAGGATATGCGAGAATATAGGATATGCTGTGCAATATTTTTGTTTCAACAAACAGGTACTCGTGCAGCCGACAAAAAAGAAAATGCATACAGTTGTAATCGATCCCAAACAATTTTGTACGTTATATTTTGTCTTTAATATAAACAATGATAACCTTTTTAAAAACATCTAGAGCAATATGTCTATAAACAGTTTAATTAAAAATCAATAGAATGGACATTCAATGTGTATTTGGCTAGCGTCCAAATGTGTCACGTTTGCTATAAGACCAGCAAGGCGCTACGACCTACACAGTCGCTTTTCAGACCTCTGTTCAACAAAATTTATACCGTTTCCATATGCCAACAATTCATTGGCATATTATATTTATAAGAATATTATGAATATCTGAACCAGAGCCAGAACAGAAACGTACGCGTGAAATGAAACTGCGCCCGAACCCAGAGAAAATAAAAGGGCGGGTATTTCAAAGTGCACGGTCATACGTTTCCGTTGCTTGATTTCCTGACTTATGATTGTATGATTGTACAGAACGGCCATTCCTTGCAATCGAAGTGTGAAGTGCGGAAGTGGAACATGTAATATGAGACTTTTCCATCCCCCTCTTAGGTTATCAATTTTTTATGGGTTACGTGACCAGCCCGAACAGGGTTTTTCATAACGTAACGAGGTCGAGTTCAGGATGGTAGATTATACTGAAATTTTCATGTGTACAAAGACTGCAGCGTTTTGTTGTATTGTTGTAGCTCCTGCATTGTTTAATTAACTAATAATACGCCAGTTTATAGGGTACTTGACCTTTGACTCTTTATGTTCCCAGATGTATTTGCTAGCTCTGTGGCATTTCTATACTTGTTTAATCTGAATTTTGTAACTTATAGAAAAGAGAGTGCTCAATCTTGTTGATAGATTGTCCTCTTATACCGTTGTCCTCTTGTTGCTGGATTGGCTATTTCATACCTGCATTAATTTCTGCATTTTTACTCTTTCTACAAGACGCTCCTTGTGCTGTTGGACCTGGTAGAAATGGTTTCACTTGTTCCAATTAGAGATAATTACTGTAGAGATAGAGTAGGATTGTCATTGGGCTCTTGCTCATTTTTTGTCTGTATTAATTTTCACATTTTCATTATTTTTTCAAGATGCTCCTTGTGCTGCAGGACCTTGTGGAAATGGCGCTACCTGTTCCAATCACGGCAAGGATTATAAATGCACATGCGCAGCTGGATATACTGGGAAACAGTGTGAAACTCGAAGTAAGTACAAACATTTTAAAGGTTTTGGGCGAAGTTCTTCTAAGGCACCTTTCTACGATCCAGATACCGGCCCGTATCATTGCCGGGGTGGAATTACAAAGAAAAGTTGCACAGATCAGTTATGAAGCACAAATGGTTAACGATTTTCATGGCGTTTTTCTTCACATTAATTCACTTACAAGAAAGACCATTGCTTCAGGAATTTACGTCATTCTTGTTTTCAAAACCAGCACGAAACCATAATGTGAAAATTGTAAAAATTAAACGGCGGTATTTACATCGGTAATCGCGCATGGTTTCATAAAGCTGCATATACAGTTAAGTTGGCATGGATATAACCGTTGTGATCATTTTGTTTATTTCGTTTTCTCCAACAAATTGAATTGTTGCTCTGTAGAAATTCACGTGCAAATCGCGGATTGTGTTAGAGTCTACGCCTTCGCTTAAGCTGAACTTCGGTCGTTTCGCATGAAGGCGGAATTCTTGTTCTCTCAGTTCGTCGTTGAGATCGCCAGCTGTTTGTTACAGTCATTTTAATTATTGCTGTTGATACTGCATTGGACCTTGGGAGTTCCTGCATGTAGGTATTGGCTGGAACAGCACTGATGTGCCATTGGCTCGGTGATTAAAAACAGAGTTATAATTCAATTTTGCATTTCATTTTCATTTCAGCATGCACTAATCCTAAAGCGTTAGGAATGAAAAGTGGGAAGATTGCAGATTCTAGAATCAAGGCTTCGTCAGAGTGGAATTCCGCTGATTGGGGCGCAACTAAAGCTCGTTTGAATTTCGCTAAATACTCATGGTTAGCAAAACGAAATGACCGCAAACAGTGGTTGCAAGTTGATTTCAAATACAGGGCAACAATTACTGATATTATGTCTCAAGGTCGTGGCAATTCTGGTCAGTGGGTTCGAAGTTACACTGTTTCATATTCTAATGATGGCGTCAACTTTAATCGTTACCAAAGAAGTGGAAAAGATAAGGTAAGATTCACTTACTAGGTAATATTACATTTCCTTACATTTCCAATACAGTCAAATTCTCACGACCGGTAAAACATTCTTGTTGAATCAACGTATTTCCATGAACACTGCCATTCATGTAACAGTGCGTTTACTGTTCGTACTGAATCCGCGAAACGACATGTCGATTCGCTTATTTTGTGCCAGCAAACCGTAACGCACCACAGCACTTTATCTTGTATCGAAGTATAGGGCTCATACAGCAACGGATTGATTATGATTCTTTAACTGAATTTCATGATGGCATGTCTCTTTCGTCCTATAAACACACATACAATTTTCAACACCACCATTAGCCAATAAAGCCTTAGAAGAGACACTTTAAATTATATCCTGACTCTTAGGTACTACGAGCAAACGTGAATGTAGATTGCATCGTTAAAAGCACACTTGAACCAGTTATTGTGGCACGTTTCATCCGAATCCATCCCAGAACATGGAATAGACATATTGCTATGCGAGTGGAATTTATTGGTTGTTTTGAAGGTAGATATTTATTATGAATATTGTGCAATAATTCTCTATCAAGCTAACGTCACAGCATGATTCGATCGAATAATTTGTCTAAACTAATGTTGTTATAGCAACAAATTATGACATCATTGTGATGTTATTTCCATTCCCCGCCCTTCCGCAGTCCGAGTAGCGTTGATCAACAAGGAGGAATTTTGTTATCGACCAACCAATGCATTTGCTGACATTTTCGCTCTTAGCCAATCAAAATGAGTAATTGATTACTACTTCAGGTAAAAACAAACATTTGAACAGAAAATATTGTGTCTTAAATAAAGGTTCGAGGGGGTCTATATTTTCGGTTTAAATGTATGTTTTTACTGGAAGTGGGCTTCCTGTTCTCGCAGGGAAACTACCTACAATAACCAATTACGCAGTCTGATTGGCTTAGAGCGAAATCGTCAACAAATGTACTGATTGGTCGCGAACTAAATTCCCCGTGTTGCGTTAATCATAATGTCCGCGGCAACTTTGTAGCTCTTATAATATAATAGTATAATTAACAGTACAGAAAAACGTAATTTAATGTGGATTGGTTTTTAGAAGATGAAATTTTCGAATAAATATTAATATACGGACCTAACCAGGATCAGCTTGTGAACAATGAGGTTATAAAAAAGACAAGGAATAAAAATAAATTATTCTGTATAAATGTCTACGTAATCAAACACCACCATTTCAGGCCAGCCATGCGCAAAAGAACCATGTAAAAACGAAGGAAAATGTAGTGATGTTGAAGGAGAAGCCTCGTGTTCATGTCTTCCAGGGTATTATGGTGCTCGATGTGAAGAAAAAGGTACTCAATATGTATATTATTTTAAAGGGGTACATCAGACCATCGAATATTGTTGTTGGAAGTTTTCTAATTAGTACATTAGAGAAAATGCAACATATTTTATAACGAAAATTGATACCCATTTTGATACATCACTTTATTGGATGTTGACGTCGCAAGATTTCTTCGTTTTATCCATGAGCAATATGCAATTATATTTGCTTAATCTGACTTCTTCTAATTTATTAAACGTTCTCTGACTTCTCTTTTCTACACGCTTTCGGCTATCAGTCTATAGCGTTCAACGGGTGCATATACAAATGATTTTACAGTCGTGCCAGTAGAAAGGTTCCGAAATATGTTGACCAGTTCATTTCCTAACTTCGAGGAGTTCCTCTGAACATTTCCTCAACAATTTGACAAGTTCCTTAAAAAGTTCCTAACTTCCTGTTTCATTGACCAATCAAATATTATATTTTATTTTTGAGCAATCTGATCATGATTGGTCAATGAAACAGGAAGTTAGGAACTTTTTAAGGAATTGTTCAGAGGAACTCCTCGAAGTTAGCAGTGGCGGCGCCAGGCTTCCAAATTTGGGGGGCATTTGAGGGGCAAACTCAAATTTTGGGGGGCAAGATAGAATTTTTAAAAAGGTCGCCCCCCCCAGGAAATTCGCCCCCCCCCCTCAAAACGTGGCGATATTCCTAGGAATATTGCCCCCGGGGGACGAATATCCTAGGAATATCGCCTCCCAGGGGGTGGGACGAATACCCTAGGAATATCGCCCCTCTTTAGGACATTCGCCCCCCATATATGCGATGTGGTTTATTCAAATAATTT